TTATATTTAATATAAAAATTACGTGTTTAATAAAAAGATCCAACGGGAGAAAAACTATTTTCAGATTTCGGAACTTTTGATAGCTCAACCACAACCAATTCGACCATTCATATTTAACATAATAATACATCATAAAAAAAATAATAAAATCTGTCCCCAAAAAAAAAAAAAAACAAAACAGAAATACATGTTTTGAATTATACTTAAACCTATGTGTGCTTAATATGAATTTTTAACAAATTGGTAAAGTATTCACCATTTAACATTAATTGGCATTGCCAGGTTTTTGTAAAAATAATATTGATTCATAAAGAATTGTAATAACAATTTTATAAATTACAATATGTATAACTTTTAAGAAATAATTTGTTTTTCGTCTGTTAAAAGAACTGAAACGACCAGAAAATAATACATTATCTGTAACTGATATTAAAAATGCATACATTGTACACTAAAATTACAAACATTTAAAGCCTGTACAGTAATGTAGTAGTAAAAAATATAAATACGGATTGTATAAATTCAATATAAGTTTAAATTTAATGGTATATTCCTACAAGAAATTAATTAAAATAAAAACAACTTTACTGGTAATTGAATAATTTTGCTCAAAAGTAAAACATTTCTTTCGTCACTATACGGAAAAAAAAAAGTATAATAATGTACGTATCGACGCCTGAGTTCAAGACTGCAATATAACTCAAATTATGAAACTACTGGTTCTAGAATGAAATAAACGACCTCTAGAGATGGATAATGCAACTAAAAGTTATTGCGTTATAGAATCGAAATCGTCGTAATTTTGCAAATAATATCACGAAGATAACTCAATTCTGAATATTTTTGAGTTATTACAGTCTTGAACTGAAGCAACGATAATATAGTGCGTTTTTCTATATAGTAATAGTTTTTTATAAATAATACGAATATAACACACAATATGGTATAATTATGTACCAATATATAATTTGTTTGTAATATGTTTGTAACAAATGTTTAGGTATAGATACTATTAATAAAAAAAATTCTGGAATCTGACTTAGGTATGGTTCCAATTTGTTTGAGTAATCGAGATTCGATAGTATATTTAATTGTTTTATCATAAACTCCCAAACTTTTTCGAATTATTCACAATTAGAATTATGAATATATATATATATATATATATTAATGAACATTTAAGTTTACTTATATGTATATGTTTTAGATCATATGGAAATTAGTGTTTTTTCAAAAAACCTAGATTCTTTTTAAATGGTAAAATGTTTGCGAATTACTTATTATTTTTCCAAATGGCATGCGGTTTTTTATACCGACTAACAGCAGATGGGCATTATAAGAACCATAATTATTATATAGTAATAACCGTTGTTCTTATTTTTTTTTTATGGTTGATTGTTTACTTATACAAAAGAAAAAGCAATTGAATTATTATAATATATGAACTGAATAAGTATAATACCTATTATATTGTATAACTAGTTTTGTTTTATTTTACTAACAAAAAATATTACATTAAAGTATTGATATATACAATATTTATTTATTTTTACATGTAATTTATTCGTGGAATTTTGAGCTACACAGTACATTATTTTTTCGACAAACGCATCTATTTTTTTTTTTGTATGATTTTTTACAGAAATTATTTTGATTACCCTACTCTCCAAATTGCAAATGTCACTTCGCTATTTATCTTAATGTTATTTTTAGATTTGGTATTTTGTCGAGAAATTCTACATAAGTTTTTGTAGAACATTTTCGCTTAACCACGTATTTATGATGACAAACTGTTTACATATTACAATAATTATATTGCACTTTTTTTTTATTTATTTATTGTTAACAGGTTAGGTTAGTTAGTTATCTTTTGATAAGTAAAATATAATAAAATGTTAACTAAATATCAGCATTATAACTATAAAACAAAATAAGAAAAAAACATGATTGAGAGAGAGAGAAAAAAAAAAGGTTGTAATTGTTCACGTTGACTCTAACAATAAAATACAAATATTAATAATATTTAGTTTATGTGATAAATAATCTTTAAAATAAAAAAAGTAAAATTGTTATCACTAAAATATAATACTATAATCACTATAATAATCGTAGTTCTTAAAAGATATTGAATAGGTGGGTTAGGTCATTGGTTCCAATCTAAGGTGATTTGAACCAGTATTTTTTAAATATATAGTCGCCACTAATCAACTACATCCTATATAAGACATTCTTTCATTTTTTTTTGTCTTATTTCGTAACTTCGATCATTTTAATATTGGTAGTATTAAACTTGTTAATAATAGTTTCAGATAAAAATAAAAAGACATTTCGATGAAAATAATTGATCTAGTTTTAGAAAATTAACCTTGTACTTGGATTCATTTCTACTTTTTTTTTTTTTTGGTTTTGTAAAAAGTATTGGGGATTTGAAATCAAATATTAAATAAAATTAATACTTCAAGTACAAGTACTGTGTTCATTTTTTTTAAATTCTAGAAACTGTGTAAGAAATTATTTATAAATAAAAAAAAAATTCCAATGACGAAATAAGACAAAATCAATATACATATACAATATGATCAATATATATTTGAAAGTAAAAATAGTAATATATGTTCTTAAAGTCGTTGAACGGTTGTTAGGATATAAAAATTGTTGTAACGTGACTACTCGATATTTGAGTGCAATTCAAAATCATGAGGTCCTTATAAATTTTACCATCATAAATATTAAATAAAAAAATGTAATTTTTTGAAGTGGGGGATTTTTTAAATTTATGTTTGAATAAAATACGATACTATATACTAAAACAAATATGATAGTTTATTATTGAAATAAATAATTTGCTTTTAACTATTATACCAAAGGAGTGAATTAAAAAAAATAACTTAGTTATCCTCTACTTATATTATTATAAAAATTCTTTGGATATGTTATTGGATGAAAACTACTAGTTTACTAGAAAATATAATCAAAAACATGCTATACAAAAGAAAATAAATTAATATTGTATTTATTTTTAAATAATTCTATATTATAATTCTATAATCATTGAAAATAAAAGGAACGAAGACCAAACATATTAAATTAAGTCTAACAAGAAACTATTTGGGAAACTAGTGGAAATAAAACACAAGAAACTAAGTTGGCTCGTTTATGTACTAAGGGCTAAATCAATAACAAATTATTTACTAAACCAAACCCTGCAGGGAAGAAGAAAAATGAAAAGATTAGAACAGAGATGGATATACAAGGGAATGAGGGAACTAAGATAACTAGGGATAGACAATAATAATGAATTAGCTCTGGATAGAGACAGATAGAAAAAAGTTTGTACTGCAGTTATGAGCCTTAATGGACTCTAAATCTGAAAGAAGAAGAATTTATTTTTAAAACAACTAGTACACAATATTTTTATATCATTATTTTATAATATTTATAATATGATTTAAACATGATCACATAATGTAATAACATAAAAGGATAAAAGGACACGAGGCAAAGGATAATGATATAAATAATAAATAAATGCATTCATATAAATTATATATTGTTATTTTGTTGCACAGGTATTGAACCTTTTGAAGCCCTATAATAGATAATGATAATAAATAATAGATTGTTTAAAGATAAACGATGGTAAAATTGATATGTTATTATTTCATATCATATTCACATCTGATCAATGAACATGGTTTCATTGTTAAATAATCGTATTCAAACAAAATTAATTTGAAATTCAATAAAAAATATGTTAATTAATCAGGTATTTAAAATAATAAATAATACATTTCACCTTCGTTCTTTCAGAGTTCTCATACAAATCAATATGTCACATTATATTTTCTGATCCTGACGTGAAAAATGGACGATAAACCTAAAATCGATGTCACATATCGATTCAAGTAAAAAATTTCAAAAGATTCTTCAACCATTTCAGAAAGACCCTGTAAAATCTGTTATGTTTTAAATGTATCAAAAATCTTAAAATTTTAAAAATTATAATAATAATATTGCTTCTAAAGCTAAAGATCCAAAATTCGAAATAAAAATTGTAATTAGTTATTAGAAATAAATAACGTTAAAGAAATATTTGACTGATTTTGGCTACGTTGTTGTAAGTTTCTTAAAATCTATTGGTGTGTAATTAATTAAATTTAACAAACGCAATAGATATAATAACTAATAACTGAGGTAGACTATCTTATGTAAATAAAATTATAATAAATAGTATTTATGAACATAGAAACAAATCTCATGTATGTTAGGAAGTTCGGACAAGAATATGGGTAAAATATATAATTATTGTAATTGATCCGTAACCGGTTGAAATGTCTTTAAATTGACTTTAAATGAACTAGGTTTGCCATTTTACAAAATAAACAAGTAATTAATATGAATATCTATATTTTTAAGTAACTATTAATACGTTTTTAATTAATTTTTAGACATTAAAATAATGGATAATGAAATTTGGGTAAATGTAATTTGGGTTGATTTAAAGTATTATTAATCCTATACTAAGATCAACCCAAAACAAAAATCGATATTATTAATTAGTTTATAACACCATTGTTAAGCATTAACAATATACTTTAAAAAAAGTATATTGTTAAGCATTAACAATATACTTTAAAAAAAGTATCTAACAAAATTGATTGAGTGCTTAATGAAAATTACAAATAATTTCATAATAAGTATTATTAAACTTATTAAAATTATAAAAAGAAAAACAATAATGCTTTAAAATTCGAAACCTGATAATCTCGTAAAAGAACAAATAATTATATTTTATACATATATATATTTTTTTTTAATAACTCAGTAATATTCGGTTTTATTCGGTTTTTGTATGTGAAATATATTGTCATAAATCATTTTACAGTAAACATACATAAAATCGAATAAAACAAATATTAAAATAATGTCACAAATCAGATTGTATGTACAGAGATTGACATTGATTGACTGTATTGTGTGAAAAAAAAAATTATGTTTACTAGAAAAACGACTATAAATAAGAGCAACAGTCATACCGATAATCAACTTTCAGTTCGTCTTGTTAGGAACTCGAAAAAGGCAACTAACAGGTAACATTTAAAAATTATTATTTAGCACATTATTTATTAGATTTTGTTCACAATCATTTACATATATATATTATCACATTTCAATTCAAAATCAATTTAAATCTATGCACGTAAATTAAAATTAAAATTAATATAAAGTAATATAGTATTTCTGTTTTTAGTTTTTAAATTTATTTAAAAACAAATCGTATACAATTAATGTATCTGATAGCAAAATTAATTTTTTCATTGGACGGAACTTACTTAACAATTTTAATATTTTATGTGATAATAATATATTAAAATATACCATGTAGGGATAAATAAAACAACTAAAATTATAATAAGACTACAATAACATTTTTTACTTTTATCACAAATTTCACTGAGTTCAGGATGTATAAAATATATATTTTAAACGTTAGAATTACCATTAAAACTTTTAATTTGTTTAGGATCGAGAACAACCGATGTTAAAATAAGGAACCCATTTTTTGTTACACGTAAATAATAACGACGATAGTACCTATATAAAATCTAAAACAGTTTTTGAAAAATTCATTCGATTTAACTTTTATCTCTTGAACAAACCGTGAAAAACGTCTCTTATATTGATTATGATTGTCACAAATATTATTAGTAAAATTAACAAATAACAAAAATAACTTAACTTTGAATATTTTATTAATTTTATGTATTTGTGTTAACAGGATGAGGGCTGTACTCTGTCTTTTTGTTCTGATTTCTACTGCATTAGCATGCCCATGCAGTCCACCAGGTGGTTGCAGTTGTGGAGAAAAACCAAAGATATGTAATCCTGCATGGAATGTTAGGACATTTGATTCACAACAAGTGAGTACCAGTTTAATTTCCACTAAAGAATATTTTGCATAGTAATTATTCTCATTTTGGATCACTCTCACTCCATTATAATAATATCATTGAAAGTAATAGGTTTTCATAGATTTTTTTCTGAATAAATAGTTTAATGCATAATCTGTGCTATTATTTCAGTATGTATACCTACAAATTAAGGAATTATAGTATGATATTGATTAAATAGTGTATTATTGTCATTGAAAGTAAATACAGTGCAACCAGTATAGTATATTTTGTAGGAAAAGGTTCATGAGTGAAAAGTGTAATAAAAATACTTAAATACTTAGTGAAAATTAGTATGATATATGATGATGCCACGAATACTCATACCGTATGCACAATAATATAAACTATATAATATTAATATATTACTTAGAAATACCAAAATAAAGTAATCAATTACTTAAGTTTAAGAAATAAATTGTGTTTTTATTTAAAATTAATTCAAAGGGGTGGGGTTATGTATAGGCAACCACAGCAATCCAAGGAGGATGGTATTTACAGTTGTTCTCACCATTTTTAATAAACGATGCAAACCCCCTAAAAACTGGATTATTTTGTGAGTAGTAAACGTTTTCAAAACTACGTTCGCATAAGGAATTACATGTATATATATAAATAAATATTTTTTAATATTTAAAATCTTATTACAGCACCCCAGTATCCGACTTCTAACCTCAAAATAATGTTTAATGACACAACTCCTTGTGATTCGTTTGACTACAATTCAGACTATATTATGACTGACATAGCCTACAATCTAGCGTAAGTATTTGTAACTTTGAACCCTTAAATAATAAAATAAAATAACTATAGATTATGGAAGAGAGAATGCGAAAACCTTCCCAAATCTTATGATTTGGTTATAAATGAATATTTAAAAGTATTCCTATTCAACCATGGCTTAAAGCTTCGAAAAGTAGTCACGCTGTCATAGTCAAATAAACTAAAAAAAAGACTACACACAGGTCATATTAGCTTGTATTGCCCCTACCCTACTACGGTGGGGATTACTACGACTTCTAACATCTGCTACTAAATTTTCCATTTCTCTCTTCTCAAAGAACTCCGTTATAGGTTTTGTTTTCCGCTTATGATATCAACTTTTCCACCATAAACGTTCTTTCAAGTAATAATACAATACATATATTTACATAATTATACTTACACTTAATTTTATACTTCAATTTGGCTTTCAAATCTAGCAGTGTGAGCTTTAATAATCGATATAACTGATTTTTAATTAAATATTATAACAATTGTTGAGTTATTATAATATGCTTGTTAAAATATCAATAAAAATAAAAAAAAGTAATAAATATTTAAAATAAAAATACTACTTAATTATATCAGTGAAACGAACAATATTTTATTATTTTTATTTAAAGCACACAACGAGTTGAAATAACAAAATCATTATTCAAGGCAGCTTATGGCAACAAAAGTCCATGGGCCATTTTCAATATTGGTACAGCAAAATACTGTAAGTAAAATGTTGATAAAAATCAATAATTTATTATTTATGAAGACATTTCAATAAGAATAAAATGTTGTTTTTCTGTACAAAATATGAATACAATAATATACCATAAGTAGAAAATAATGAACGAGATTTTGAATAAAAATCATCGAAATGAAAAAAAGCATACTTTTCAAAATTGAACTACTTACTAATATTGAAATAAATAAATTTTCAGATGAAAATCCAATAGTCGAAATCAACCCATTCACAGATGATTTATTAATCAGACATGAAATTGATACCATATGTAAGTACAAACAACACGTATAGAAAACCAATGATGTATCTAACTCACTAATACGTGTTATAGACGAAAGAGAATACACACTTGCTTGCATTGGATCTGATGAGTTGTGGCAAGACTATTTGATATTTGTTCTAATCAATCAATACGATAACTTCTTTAACAGTAAGTACAAAAAAATAAATTGGAAAAGAATATTCAAAAACGAATCGGCTTCATTAATTTTTAGTATACGACAAACATGCTGTGTGGGTGTTCACGAGAAGCCCATCCCCTTCGCCAGCTACCTACAAGAAAGCATTTGATGATCTTAAGAAAAGTGGTATTAATCCATACTACTTAATGAGCATGGACCAATCAGTAGACCTTGCAAGTATACCAACCGTCAGTATCGATGAACTCTATGGTATCACAACAGAAACCGTTACAAAATCAACTCAAGTCACATCATCGGATGGTACTACATCACAATCTTCAACCACCACTACAGTGACGACTGTTTCAACCGTTAACTTCGTGCTGAATCCAAACTACGTTTCTCCATATGAAATCGATACCTCTCCCTTAACAGGAGACATCAAAATCTTAAAGCTGTTAGATACAGATGCAGTAAGTACAAATTCATAATAATAATAATATATGTTATTTTTTCAAGTTTGTTAGTATATTTTTTGGATACGTTCTAGCGAAAAATCTAACTTTTTTACGCTTATATGCATATATTTTGTTGTATTTTACATAAATATATTCGTAAAAATATATAAAATTTGTTAACTAAGTAAATTTATTTTCAGCTGACCAACATCTTTAGTAACAAATATTATTTGAAGTCGGCCATGCCATGCAGATATTACAGCGAAGATATTGTTGTTAAAGGCGGTCTTTTGAGTTAGTGTTGGATTTAAAACTCTATTTTCATAAAATAACATATAATTAATTTACTATTTGGTATAAAATATTAAGTGTAATTATTTTACGTAATACTTAGACACGGCCTTCCCTGCTACTTCAATTCAAGTCGCTTTCGACTATACGAACAAGGCACCATGGGATTACACTAGTACTCGCTATATGATTGACCGTTCTATAAATGCTATGTAATTATCTTTGGATTAACTACAATATTATTTTAAAGTAAATAATTAACTTTAACTCTTTCGTTTGTTTTTAGAACTGGTGAAATTCAAGTAACAAGGAGCATAATTTCATCTTGTTATGATGGATCCCATCCTTACAACGCCATCTCAGTGTACACCGAAGGATATGGTAATATTGAACATTAGAAATGCATGATTGGTCAATACTCAATGATAATAATTAATGTTTTATTTTATCTGAATGCATAGGTCCCACACCTATTGAGGAGGTCACTATATTAAACTTAGACGGATCGGTTAGCAAGTCACCAGGAAGTATTTGTATGTTTATATTTTATATAAATTTTACTGTCATATAATTCGATTGACATTGTTTTTAAAATCGTATTCATAATTTTTTCTATTCTTACAGACATCCAACAATACGTATTATGTATTGCAGGATACCAAAAAGATGCCTTCGTAATCTTCTACCTCGCAAATAAGTACAACAACTTGTTCAACCGTAAGTGCATTGTTTATTGCAATTGATTTATTTATTAATTTTATATGTGTTTTTGAATATCCCTACACAACTTTGTCAAACGATGTAGTACCACTTTCTAAATGTTTTTCATTGTTATTGTACTCACTTTTGATAAGAGTTCATGTTGATTAGGAATTCACACGTTTTATTATTGTTGATAGCTAACAGTCCAGTCAATCCATTGTACGTCTTGACTAATGACAGATTCCCATCTGCCAAAGTCATCGAAGATATCAATCAAGAAATCCTTCGCATTGGATACGATTCTCGATACTTAACAAATGTTGACCAAACGACCGTAATCTCCGATGACTACATTTTTGAAGAGTCATTCTTCTATCCATCAGTCCCTCGTAGTCTTGTTGGACCCGGACCAGTTACTCCTTTACCTGATCTCCCATCATACTTCCCACCTCAATATCAAGTCAAAACTTTTGAATCCCAACTCGTAAGTAACATTATATTGTACAATTTAATGAATTATTATGAGGCAAAAACAAATGGAACGGTCGAGTTAATGAATAATAGAATATTGTACAATTTCACAATTATTTTCCTTTATTTTTTCAAAAAATACTTATTTAAACATAAAATATACTTTTAATTTATTTCTTCTACAGAAAAAAAAATTAAAATTGGTTTAATTCATTATCTATATGATATGTTATATAGGCAACAAAAGCAATTCAGGGTGGATGGAATCTTCAATTGTACTCACCTACATCAATTAACAACGCACATGCGTTGAAAACTGGACTCTTTTGTATGTTAATATGTTCTAATATTAATTAATTACATTTTTAATCTCGTATTTGAAAAATATTTATTAGATCCTCAATTCCCTTGCTCCAATCTCAAGATAATGTTTAATGATACGACTCCTTGTGATGAGTTTGACTACAATACAGACTTCATCTTGACTGACATATCTTTCAACCTTATGTAAGTACTTCGAGTTTTAAATATTTATATGAAGAGTTTTTAAAACTATTTGTTGAATCTAAATAACAGTTTTACGTCATGGTTTCATAATTTTATAGTTGAAACAGAAAAATTTGATCATTAACAGAAACTCTTAATAATACATATAATAAAAAATAAAATATAATTTATTTTATTTTATAAATATAATTTAAATAATTTGTGTGGTTTTAATTTCACAGCTTGTATATTTGTATAATGAGTTATAAAATTATAATTTTCAAATACTTCAATTTAAATAACTGAAGTTAGAAAAAAAGTCTTTAATATTGGATTTAAAATAAAAACATAATAAACTATAAAAATCTATAAAAATTATACTATTTTACAGAACACAACGTGTCGAAACCACAAAATCATTGTTCAAGGCAGCCTACGGCAACAAAAGCCCATACGCGATTTTCAACGTTGGAACAACTAAATACTGTAAGTAAAATATCAACTGACAATAATTTATTTTTAAAATATCAGAACATTAAGTTTTCATTTCCTGATTTAATTTATTATTAAAACAAAAAATAAAATTACAGGACTCTATAAGTTAAGACCCATTGAAATTATCATAAAAATTAATATAAATATTGGTCACTGTTTAATCTGAATCATTTTTCTTTTCCAGTTGAAACGCCGATAGTAGAAGTAAATCCATTCACGGACGACTTATTGATTAGACACACAATTGACACAACTTGTGAGTTCAAAAATAAATATGGAAATATGAATTAATAGTCTTAAAATTATTTAACCTAATACGATATAAAATATAATAAAAATATTTCATATTTCAGATGAAAGAGAGTACACAATTGCCTGTATTGGTGCAGACGACTTATGGGAAGACTATTTGATATTTGTTTTACTTAACCAATACGACAACTTCTTCAGCAGTTAGTAAAATAGAAAAAAAAATATTAAATAAATATTACAAAAATAATAAACTTTTAGGCAATGACAATCATATTATCTGGATGTTCACGAGAAGCCCGAATCCCGGCCCAGCTACCTACAAGAGAGCATTTGATGATCTTAAGAAAAGTGGTATTAACCCATACTATTTAATGAGCATGGACCAATCAGTAGACCTTATAAGTATACCAACCGTCAGTATCGATGAACTCTATGGAATCACAACAGAAACCGTTACAAAATCAACTCAAGTCACATCATCGGATGGTACTGTTACTACTGAACAATCTACCCAAGTGACGACTGTGTCTACTATTGACTTCGTACCGAATCCTGCTTACATTTCCCCATACGAATTCGATACCTCTCCACTATTCGGAGATATCAAAATCTATAAGGACTTGCAACCAGACGTTCTGAGTAAAAATTTATAACATTTATTATGCTCCAAAATTATTAATATTTCTTTTGTGGATAAGTTCCAGCAAAAAACCTAAATTGTTTTCGCTTATATACAATTATTTTGATGTGTTAAACAAATGTCTATATAAAAAAATATATTATCAAAAAATATTAATTTTCAGTTGACCAACATCTTTAGTAACAAATATTATTTGAAGTCGACCATGCCATGCAGATATTACAGCGAAGATATTGATGTTAAAGTCGGTCTTTTGAGTAAGTGCTGGATTTAAAACTGTATTTTTATAAAATAACAAATAATTAATTCAATATTTGATATAAAATAATAAATGTAATTCTTTAGACACGGCCTTCCCTGCCACTGGAATCCAAGTCGCTTTTGACTATACGAATAAGGCAACATGGGATTACACTACCACTCGCTATATGATTGACCGTGCTGTGAATGCCATGTAAATATCTTTGGAATACATTAATTAGGATATTATTGTACAGTAATTAATAACCAAACTATACTCTTCGTTTTTTAGAACTGGTGAAACTCAAGTAACAAGGAGTATCATTTCATCTTGTTATGATGGATCCCATCCTTACAACACCATCTCAGTGTTCACCGAAGGATATGGTAAGAATTTTAATTGGCTCGTTCAATGTTCAATGATAATAATTAAAGTTACTTTTAATCTGGATACATAGGTCCCACACCTATTGAGGAGATCTCTCCTTTATCCTTGGATGGATCAATTTGCAAATCACCAGGAAAGCTTTGTATGTTTATATTTTGATAATTTTGTCTACTGTATACTACGATGGACAATATTGTTGGATTGTATTTAACACTTTTTCTGTTTTTACAGACACCCAACAATACATTATTAGCGTAGTAGGATACCAAAAGGACGATTTCGTTATCTTATATATCGCAAATAAATACAAGAACTTGTTCAACCGTAAGTGCATTCATTATTGAAATTTATTTATTTATTAATTTTTTTATGTATTTTTTGAATTTCCGTTTACAACTTTAGTCAAACAATGTGAAATACCACTTTCTAACCTTTTGCCATGAGTTAGCATTAGCTATGATGTGCATTAGTAGTTTACATTCTTCGTTGTTATTTACAGCTGATAGTCCATTCAACCCATTGTTCGTCTTGACTAATGAGAGATTCCCATCTGCCAAAGTCCTTGAAGATATCAACCAAGCAATTTACCTTTGTGGATATGATTCACGGTACTTGTCCACTGTAGATCAGACCATAACCATTGATGAAGATTACGTTTTCGAAAGTTCATACTTCGAAGTAGAAACAGTAACTACTTCCAGCGCATGTCAGACAACTGTGACAAAATCAGTTAAATCAACACTAAAAACCATCTGTTAATTTTTGGCTTTTTGAGTTTGAAAAATATTATTTAAATACCTTTTTTCTTAATACTCGATGATATTATGAAATAAATATAGATATATAAATATAAATATAAATATTTATTTAAATATAAATATAGTATGCATTTCAATTAATAATTTTTTTTATTTATTACATATTTTCTCCTACTTATTTTTTTTTTTTGTTTTTACTTCAAATTGCAGCATCGCATGTGTTAAATGTTGGTCTTATTAAAACTGAACATTTATATTGATTAATTTATCAATTATATTTGTATTAGTTTATTGTACATACAACAATACATTACAACGTTTTCATATTTTAAAAATATAATTCACTTTTTTTGTATTACTACTAAGAAGTGATCATCAATTTTTTGACTCGTGACCAAAATTTTTTGACTATGATTTTATTGCACCCTAAATAAATTAATATATCAATCTTTGTAGGTAATATTTTATTGCACATAGGTGGTGTACAATGGTGTACAATGATTCCGATATATACATAATATATTATTTTACTTAATTAATATTCATTACAATTCATATAATATGTTAATCTAATATTGTAATAAAATTTAAAAAACAGTACACGTCTGACAGCCGACTATATAGCACTTGTTTGCACTATCGTGATTGTGCATTTAATAGCTTTCGATAGCACAAAACTTTCGAATCACATATATAGGTAATATAATTTTATATTAATTATCCACCTTATCGTGAAATGAACAACGATAACAAGACGCCGATCGTTATAAATAAAGAATATAGTCTATTTTCATCGATCTAGGCAGGCACGTAACCAGACATATTTCTATAAGGGGCCAACATTTTTTGGCCCCTTTTTTGTAGTTGTATTTATCAAATGTGCGTTCGATATCCGTATTTGGAATTCCTAGTTTTCAATCTATTAATTCACGTACTATTGTCTTATCTCAAATTATCAAGTGACGAATATTTATAAAATAGAATCTCAGAATTTAATTTTTGTTATACGATCGTTAATTATATGGAATGGCGTATGTAAACTCCGCCATAAGTACCATTTTTTACTGTTAACTAGAAAAATAAAACAGGTAAAATTGGGTTCATGTAAACTCCGCCACTAAAAAAAATCATGTAAAATTTAATACATGTAAACACTGCCAGTGAAGAAAATCGAGTATTAGTATAAAATTAATATGATATATTATTAAAAGTAATACTTAGTAAGTAATATTAAGTGAATATTATTATTATAATATTATATAATATCGTACCTCCATTTTATTTCACCCTTATATTTTATATTTTGGTTATATTTGTAGTTAGTTGTTAAATAAAACCATTAAATTGCCTAGTTGACCAGTAATTAATTTTATATTATTACTTTGTTGCGACATATTTCGTTCAATATTCGTGTACAAAAAATGATAGTACATTTATAATTATAATTATACACGGAACACGTTACGTAACACTGTGACAATGCCTATTGGTCATTCATTACATAATCAACTTAACCTTTATGCGGGTTGGTGACATGGTAATTGGTAAGAACTCTGGAACGGTGGATGTAATGGATCGGAACACCAAAAAAATCCAATGACGCAAAATACCTCCGACGTCACGGGACCGATGATCTCGTAGACGTACGTTAAGCGCTCTCGTTAGTAACTCATGGACACTTTTGGACGGTACAACTGCGGCTTTTTGGTACTTATCTCAACATCGGGGTGATTGGGCAAAAGTATCGTAACGAAAGATACGGAACATAGAAAGATAGAAAAATCGATAGAAGTAGTCCGTACGACACGCATCAACATCCATGGGTCAGCGATATTTGCGGAGTGTGTGTGACGCTTATCACCGGCGAAAATAGACCGTTCCGGGCAAAAGTCGACACGGCCTATCGCGCATCAACATAGTATTTTCATATATTTGCACTGATCTAGCTTCATTTGAAATCTTAATTCAAACATGATGATTGTAAAGATGTTTTTTTGATTTATGAATAAAATACGAGTGACGCAACAAAGGTTCTTACATTTAAAACCGGAAGTATCTTGTCTAAGCTAATTTATTTATATATTACCTTACATTTTTTTAATTGGAAAGATTGACCCTTGAAACTGTATTAAAATTCAAATCAATTGAATCTTTATGACTTATATATGATTAACATAGTACTACTACTTATAGTAGTCATATTGTTATTGCTACTTATAGACAAATATAGAAAAAAAAAAAAATTATCAACATTTATAAATATTTTGATTTTCAGAGAAAATTGTAAGTACCTATTCAGGTTCATTTGCACTTTTACCTTCTGAAAGAAAATTATCTATACATTTTCATAAGAACTTGTCTTATTCAGTTTACGTAATATCGTATTATAGTTTGTTATGGTTAGCGACATCTAACGGACATATTTTAAAGTGTATAGTTTCCGGTTGTTCTGATAGAGCATTCACATGGTCATGATATAAAATATAAAAATACCGTTCATATCCTTCATTGTTATAATATGAAAAAAATCTATCAATTACAGATGTGATTTACTTTTATGTACTTTTATGTCTTAATTCGGGTAAATACTCACAGAGGCAATGACTTCTTTTCAAATGCCGAAATCAAAATATATCGCGATCCGTTGAACCATTTACGTCATATCTACTCCTCCTGTTACTCGAATGAACATTTTTTTTGTGCTTTCATTGATATGCGAGTACTACTTTTGATCCACTAAATATTTTGTAAGAAGTTTATAAATATTAGAAACATCGTGATGAGCCTTCGAAACGCAAGTCGTTAATTTTCAAAAGTACGGATACAATTTGATAAATTTATATTGCTGCATATATCTGTACATTTCTATTAATATACCTACAAATTATTATTAACTTACCTACAAATGAAAATGAAATATTAAATTACGAATTTGGAAGAAAATGTAATGAAATGAATCTTTATAATTAGTAAGGGCTGATAAGGCAATGATTCAAGTATCAAAAGAAATAGCCTAAATGTATGGGTGCATGTAATTGGAGTATTAAATATGATGCATCTATAACAAAAATTAGTATCCACCACTGTATAAATTCTATTAATGACATTTTAAATTATTCATTAGAGTATATGTTATAATACGTGTGATACTAACCGGTTATACCAATCAGTCAGTTTCACTATTTTCATTATAATTATATAAATATCAGTTTCTATTCCAAAGTATTATTTGTTGTTCTTTAAAATATAGATACAGGTTTTTTTTTTTTTTTTAAATAAAGTAAATGCACTGTATTATTATACGTATACCGACATATACATGTACTAATTAGAAAATACATGTATAAAATGTAAATGGGATATAGAATATGGTGTATAGAATATTCATATTATATTGAGTGTTCTTTTATCCGTGAATTTACCGCACCATTCTATACAAAGTATATTTTACCGTAAAAAATATTCTTTTTTATAAAAATCTAATTACAAAAGTACTTAATACATATATATCGTTCTTCAAAAAATACATTATAAGACAGAAAAATATTTTTGTTAACAAGTTTTTTTTTTTTTTAATTCTTTACCTTCCCATTTATACTTATAGGATAATCAAGATATTATTTAATCGGTATCAGAAATTACCTATAAATACTTCGTGAAGAACATATTATTGTAATTAATGTGAATAGGATTTATAAATAATATATATATTTGATATATTAAATAATATTAAAATTGTTTAATACTCGTATTTACAGTAGTTAATTGTAAATTAAATCTTTTTTTCAATATTACATTTTAAATCACACAGCGGTTTTGTACAAAAAAATATTCGCTGATGTTTTTTATTATAATGTCAGTTTTATTTAGATATTGTAAATCAGTGGTTCCCAATTGGTGGTTCACGGAATCCACGGTTGTGTAGTACTATAATGAATTTTTACTTTATTTCAGTGAATTTATTATTTATATATATATTTTTTTTTAGAAAATGTGTGTGAACAATATTACAAATAAATTTGTCAAATTAAAATAAATTGTACATTTTTTTTTTCCATTTTCATAATTAAACAGAATTTAAATGTAAATATTTAAAAAAAAGGGATCTTCAGATCAATTTAAGTTATAGCTAGGGGTCCGCGGATTCAGACTAATTTAAAATCACTGTTTTAAAGTTAAATCACAAGTATTACCGAAAACATACGATTGCCTATTGACAGCCTATCGCAAATAGTCTATATGCATACATGGGGTGAGGATGATAATTAAATATGACGCAATAAAAACGGCAGTATAACCCTATGTTAAATCGTTCTTTCGTATGCCAATCACTACAATACCCACGAGGCTTAATAATAGATGTTCTCGTCACTACGAGTATCTTTGATCAATATTAAGCTCGTAAGTATGTGTTACATGTTTTTCGATAATGGAAACGATGATTTTGGTAGCGTGATAAAACTAAACTTATGACAGTTAAACAAGCGATGACCGTATTTTATTTGAAATAATTAATTAGACTACGATGATAATATCTTAAATAAATTATTATACACACATCTGAACATTATTAAATAAAATTATGAAAATCAAAGATCCAAATAATATAAAAAGTGTAAACATATTATCAGTATATCAGTATAATATATAAATATAAGCGATGGATTAAAATGCGAAGCTGATGCACCAGTATAAATGCATCCAACTCAAGAAGTATATGTTATATAATCGGTACTCAAATCGATAAAATAAAAAAGGGGACGTAATTATTTAAAATAAAGAATATATTCAGCACTTTTTTACCCTTCAAATAAAAACCTGGGACCATGCTATATAAGTAGGGTTGTGCTGCAATTTTTTAAAAATAGTCAAATTGTTCAGTTCTTGCATCCTTCTCCATCCCAATTGTTGTAATAAATAAATAAATCATATAAAAGTGAGAAAATGTTGATCAACACTCATCAACCGTTATTTATTTTCATTTTTTAGATTAAAAAAAAAGCGTTATTTTTATATTTCTTTCGTCAACGTAAATCAGGGTGCTACGAACAAATGTA